AAAACGGCACTCTAGGGTTCTAGAGCTTTCCCTAGTTGAGGGTTAACCCAGGGTTCCCGGTCTGTTATCTTTGAACCTCAGTCAACTTGTCCGTAAAATAGGGCTAGTAAAGACACTTTTCAAGACTAGAGGGACAACAGAGGAGGATGGGACTTTCCTTCAGCAACACACACACAACACACAAGGCACAGAGACTGTTCTCGAAGTCGAGAGTGCAGCAGGAAACAGCGAGGCCCTGCTCCAAAGCAACCATCAGCACCAGTCTCACTAAGGTGGGAAGCCGTGGACAGAGACAGCAGACAGGCGAGAGACGCGCTGTGTGCCACCTGGAGAATGAAGCGTGTCAGTGGGACAGGACGAGATGAGCCATGAAGGTTTGAGAAAAAAACACCTCTCAAAGAAAGTGACTTCTAAGTAGTAGGAGACACCGTGTGTGAAAGAACAAGGGAAGAATGCTCCAATGCCAACAGCATATGCCAAGGTCCTGGGGCATGAAGAGGCATGGAGCATCCAAAGACAGAATGAAGAGGGATTCTCTGCAGCCAGGGGAACCAGCAAGAGACAATCAGCTGAGATCAGAGGGATGGGCAAATATAGTCTCACAGGTCCCTGCAAGTCCTATGAAGAATTAAAAATAGGACCGAAACTCATAATAATCCTTATTATGACTGCCACTATAAATAGAACCACACTTTCCAAAACACGGGGCTCTCCTAGCTCAGGCACCCTGCGGCCCCTCTCCTCACTGTTTTTCCACCTCCTCAGCTTGTCCTCCTGATGGAGTGGAAAGCGCCAAGCCCGTTTTAGCGGACAGCTATAAAAAGCACACTGAGGCTCCCGGTGCTGATGACCAAACTCTGCTGCTAAGATTAGCCCAGCGCTGTCACCTTTCCTAATGAGAACAGCAGCTGGGATTCCCCTGCCTTGGAAAACTTCGGCCACCCCACCCTGCGTGCAGCGCCTACTGGCCAAGTGTCCATGGAGATGGATACAGGACTGGTTTTGGAAAAACCAACTTCAGTTCCATGGATCTCCCTTGCAGGAGGTGAACCCCGGGGTCAAAAGAGCAGGCTATGCACCTTGCAGATTATCAAGGTCCCCCCTGTCAGGGATGAGAGGAGCCACATACCCCTCTCAGGGAAGCCCACTTCTTGGGGGATACTCAGGGTGTCTCACTGGTGCCTGAAGTCCTGAAGTTGGTGTGAAAGAGTCTCAGCAATGAAATGGAAACTGTACCAGCCACTCAGCAGAACTCAGGGTTCTCCATCACTACAACCGGGTTCAAGTCCATGCTTTTATAGACCCTGGAGCCACACTGCCTGGACATAAGTCTGACTCTACGAGGTACCAACTGTGTGATCTTCATTACGTCACCTAATGTCTCTGTGCTTGGTCTCACTGTAGAACTTGGGGAAGAGCAGTTACTTTGGAGGGCTATCACGGGACTCAGATTGGTTAACCTAGGCAAACGCTTAGACCAGAGCTTGGCTCAGGACTAGGACTGTTGCTTCTGAATGTCTCCTGGCTCTCTGGGTGAGCTCATCTTTGTTCTTCCCGTACAACGTGTAGTAACAAAAGGAAAGAATGGTTTACTCAGCGTCCAATCATGGATCAGAGCCCATCATTTCATGGAGGTCACAGGGGCTGGAGCCTGAGACAACTGGTCACCCAGCATCCATAATCAAGAACAGAGAGAAACAAATGCAGCCACGCTGCCTGTTTGCTTCTTTCTTCACTCCGGTGCCTAAGGGATGGTGCCGCCCATAATGACTGTATCCTCCCACATCAGGCCGGTTCTCCACAGACATATCAGTCAACCCGATCTAGACAATTCATGAAAACTCTCTTCCTGCCAGATGGTGGTGGTGCAATCCTTTAATCCCAGCTCTCAGGAGGCAGACAGGAGGATCTCTGAGCTCAAGGCCAGCCTGGTCTACAAAACGAGTTCCAGGACAGCTAGAGCTACACAGAGAAATGCTGCCTTTAAAAAACAAAAACAAAATGAACCACCTCTCTTCCCAGGTGATTCCAGGTGGTGACAAGGTGGCACTAAAAAGTAACTGTCACAGTCTGACCTCAAAGCCTGGGCTCGGGACCGTGCAGCTGACAGCTGCACCCACACTCCTAAGCTTGTCCAATCCAAACTCACACACAGACAACATGTGCCTCACACTAGGCATGTGACCAGAGCTCTGAAGAGGCCGGAGAGCCACAAAGACAACCACAGGTGTGCAGTGACCACAGGCTGTGCTCCAGGGCACAGGACTCCCATGTGAACCCCTACTCCAGGGGCGGGACTGATATGCCAGTTTACAGAGGGAGGCCAAACCACAGGCCGAGGCTACATACACAGGAAAGAGTGGTTTACTCAGCCCTGACCTTGATCGCCAATTTAATAATAATGGCATAATAATAAGCCAGCATGCTGAGTTATATGGGGAATGTGCCATTATGATTGTTCCCATTGGTTCAACTTGACTTTTCAAGGCCAAATGCTTCTCATGGTGAGGTCAAGGTGTGGATGGCTCTGGAAACCAAGAGAGCTACGCATCAGCCAACTGTTATGGGATAATCTTTTATGCACTGTGGAGATGTGTCTCTGCTTAACCTCATCTGCCAAGGCAACTTCTGATTGGTTTAATAAAGAGCTGAACAGCCAATAGCTAGGCAGGAGAGGCTAAGTGGGACTTCTGGGGAGAAAGAGGAACTGGGGGGTGGGGGTGGAATCTGAGAGGTTAGAGGTTTGCCAGCCAGACACAGAGGAAGTGGGATGTACGGCATGGAGGAGACGTAATGAGCCACGTGGCGGAACACAGACTAATATAAATGGGTTAATAAGTTATAAGAGCTAGTTGGGAACAAGCTAAGATGTGGCTAAGCTTTCATAATTAATAGGAAGTCTCAGTGTCACTATTTGGGAGCTGGTGGGCCACAAAAAATCTGATCACAGCCAATGCCACTCCGTCAGCGCTCTCTCATTCATTCAGGAAGCAGTTCATCAAAACTATTGACCCAGACACCGGGAACTCACTGGCAGTCCCCAGCAGCAGAGAGTCAGTAGGATCCATCATCCCGTCCTTTCTTAGATGGTCCTGTCAACACAGAGGCTCTGTCACCTTGGCCATGCGTAACAAAACGTTTGGATCTTATTAGCTGTCCCCCCGTGGTGCTTTAAAGCCACGTTCATCTTGTCAATATTCACAGCGGGCAAGGATGAGTTGCATCCAACCTCGAGAACGTCTGTTACCAGGGCGTTAACAGTTCCTGTTACCCACATCCACTAAGGCAGCCGATTACCTCACCACACTGGGATGGTTAATATTGTCTGCTTGAGAAGTTCTAGAATCAACTAAGATGCAAGCCTCCAGGGGTGTCTGTGAGGAGTGATCTAGATGAGGTTAAATGAGGTAGGAGACCCACCCTAACTGCCTGATTAAATTAAGAGGATGGAACTGAACACCAGCGTCAAGACGCCCCCGACTGTAGATGCACTGTGACTACTGCATGATGGGCTGGACCCTTGAACCGTGAGCCAAAGCGGACCCTTCCTTCGGCCATTTGTGTTAAGGTAGTCATCGCTGCAGTGGGGAAAGAAACTAACCTTCAGGCCCAGACCAATTAGAACCATGTCTCTTTATCATCGGAAAAAGAGATACCATTTTATCATCAGAAATCGATAAAAAAGAAATGGACTGATAACGCACTGCGAGACCCTACGGTAGGGATGAGCCACGCCTGTTTACAGCCAGGTGCTGAGAGACCAGGAAGCATCGGCACAGATGTCCACGCAGCAGAAAAGCACGAGTGAAAATATAGACTCAAAACTGTGTCCGTGTAGGCAGAGTCCTGCAGGGAGTGGGTCAGCCCTGCCCCTGCCTCTCCTGCTCTGTAGGAGCTCTTCAGTGGGGCACACGGGTTTGTGACAGGCAGCTGGTCATTTACCCATCTCGGAGACTTCCTAACACTCACGGCTGTTCTTTCCCCAACTTTCTCAGTGACCTCTACGTGTTGCTGATTTGCACCAGGGTCAATTCTGCCTGTCAGGACACACTGGACAACGACTGTAGGTGTTTCAGTCCTCGGGACTAGAGCAGAGCTCAGAGCACCAGGTCGGGAGTGAGGGATTCTGGGAACACACTCCACTCACAGACGGCCCCACCACTCTTACCCAGCAATGGTGTCAACTGTGTCTGGGATAGGACATGAGCATAGGTCCCTCCTACCTGGGGACAGGCTATGTTGTCACTTTCACTTTCCCTTCCTACCCCAGTGTGTCTCCTGTCCTCACAGCCACCTGGACACATCCATCGCTCGGACCACAGGTTTTCACAGAATTTTCTCTGCTGTTCCCTCCTGCTGCTGTCCCCACAATGAGGCTTCCTGCATCGGCTTGTTGCTCTCCCTGTACCCACTAGAGGCTATCCTGTGAGCCATATAATCACAAGAGTCCAACAGGGACCTCCGTGCTGCCCTTAGCCAGGCTCTGACGCTCCGTCTAGGCCTCACGGCTGTACACTCCTAGATACCTTATCTTCAGTAGACGAGACCCTGGTTTGTCTAAGGAGGTCAGAGTTCATCAGACCCAACGCTCACATTTCCAAAAGGGAGCCCACATTCTAGCTCAGCCTCTTCCCACACTGCAGCGAACCTCAGTGACAGGAGTGCCCCCTTCACAGGGACCTAGGCACCGCAACACCCACCTCAAAGCAGCAATGCACTCAGTTTCTCCTCTGAGAAATAGGAAAAGGTATTTTTAAAAAATGTTTGCCCATGTGCAGAAAAGATATCAAAACAAAAACAAGGTCAATGAAAAGGGACAAGTTTAGTCTCCACGGAAACATCCAAGGAGCAATCCAAGCATGTCACCCACATCCACGGTGACCTGTGTGGCTGTGGGTCACTGGGGAATGAGCCAGAAGAACGGGAAGTTACCCAATAGGCTGAGTGTGGTGCGAGGCTCAGTTCCGTCTGGCTCGGAGAAGCAAGAGAAAGCGACTGACCTGTGGTCTTCTCCATGAACACCACCTTGGACTCCGCCGTGAAGTTCTGGCCCGTGAGGATCATCTGCTGGCCCCCGTAGACCAGGCAGCTGTCCACGTCTTGTCTCTCCACCATGGGCAGCTCATGGGCAGAGCGCTGAGCTGAGGGCAAGAGGAAAAGGAACATGGTGACCCAGAGAAACCTGCTCCAGAGACAAGGCAGAGAGGGCGGGAATGGAGTCCCAAGTGGGGCCCCCCAAACATCACATCCCTGAAAGAACCACAAGCCACTTAAGCCAGTTTGCTCTCACAGAGCTCTGTCTGGGGGAATCCAGGCTGCCTTCCCTGCAGGAGAGGCAGGAGCGGGACAGACCGGGTCTTCGTTCTCCTCTGTGCAGGGATAGGCCCAGCCCACCCCCCCATCATGATTCCACTGCTCAAATTCCTTCTGTCTCCCACTTTTCAGCCCAGACTCACAGCCCCCCCTCTATCACTATGTTCCCACCATATTTCTGGAACTTCTAGAACCTTCTATTTCCCCTGTCTCTCTCAGATAGACAGACAGACAGTGTGTGCGTGCATGTGTGTATTTTGCAGTGCTGAGGGTGGAACCCCAGTCCCCAGGCATGCTGGGTAAGTACGGTGGTACCCCCTTGCTACCTCGGAGGCATGCTCCCATCTTTGAACATTGTGCTTCCTCTCTTCTCCCCTCCCTATGTGGGCAGCTCCTTCCTCATGACCTCAGGTCCCACTCAGCCTGGCCTCCTCTGGGGGGTTCTCTCTGGGCCACACTCCAACTTCTTTGTCTCCCACCCCACTTTCTCCCCTGCTCCCTCCTGTTGAGTCCTTCTCTGGAGAAAGGCTCACTTTCAGAGACCCTTCGGGAGCTCTCCTCAGCCCCAGGAGAGAGGTGGCAGAGGTGGCTGAGTTCAGGCAGGCATGTCTCTCCTGTTTCTTCTCATCTCTATCCACAGCGAATGAAAGCTGGGGCAGGACAGGCCTGTGCTAAGCCAGTACAATATGCTAAAGTGCTCACAGCAGCCTTCAGAGGATGTGAGCACAGAGATTCACATTCAGTGATGGACCGGTCCCCACCTAGCTGAGTCGGGAACCCTTCTCAGTAGGACCAGGACCAGGAGCCAACCCTCAGCCCTGTGTGGAAGGCAGGATACAGGAGACAATGAATAGAGGCAGGTGTAGCACAGGCCAGGTGACAAAGGAACTCTAGCTGCAGCCAGGTCCCTCCCACTCCCTTAGGCCCCTCCCTCCCTCCACAGCCCTGCCTTCCTGGTGAGTCAGCTTGAGCTTCTGGCACTTGTCCTAGAGTTTCGGGCTGGGCAGAAGGCCAGGTCTTTCCATGCCAGAGCCCCTGGACCTCCCCAACCCCTCCCCATCCGGAGCCGGGAGCTAGCCGGGAGCCTTAGCAGCAGCCCTGTGAGGCCCGAACTTAACCATTTCCTTCCATGTCCAGTACAGATCACCCTCTTCCTCTGTTGCCAGGGCTGGGGAGCCTCACTGAGTAGCAGGTGCACTTAGGGACTTCCAAGGCTTCCACCCACTTCCTAGTGACTTGCCCAGCCCAGCCCCATGGTCCTGATGCCTGCCTCGGTACTCAGAAGCAATATCGCACCCCACCGCCTGTGGGCTCCGGGACATGTTGAGAAGCCCAGGATAAAACTGCTAATTCCTCCCACATGGGTGAGCTATTAAGCCTGTCTTTCAGTGTGGAAGCCCCTTGACTTTCTAATTGAGCTATTGCTAAGGCCGGTTTACTAGCAGTGAAATCAGCAGCTACAGAGGTGGCTTCTCAGACTTGCCTTTGATGGAGTGGGGTGGGGGGACGTGGTAGGGGCGCTGGCGCTAGGGACGCCAGCAAGAGCCACCCCTCCCATTTTACAGGTGGAAAACCTGAGTCACTGCTACTGGGGCGGCCAGCCAAGGGCTTGCAGCCAGCCAGGCCAGGGCCAGGCTGGGTGAGCTCTCTGAGGGGTGGGGGCCTTGCTGTGAATCACCATGCACTGCGCAAACACGCGATCTGGGGCAGCCTCTTCTCTGCAGAACTCCGGGTCTCCTGCAGACAGCAGCAACCACCTGGACACATCTGCAGAGCTACCTCCTTCTCTCCAAAGGGGTGGTGTCTTTACCCAAAAACCATGAAGAGAGCAAGTCAGCTTCCTGGAGGCCTCAGTGTCACAGCCAAGGTGTGGCCAAGCCTTCTGAAAGGGATCTGAAGGGGAAAGGCAAGCTTCTGGCTCCTCCCCAAGCCCTCTGCACACACGTGTGCAGGCTGACAGAGATGCTGAGCAAAACATCAGCCCGGCATCCCACTGGACTTCTGTAATGAAGATTCTCAGCTTCGGCATCTCCAACCTGAGGCCTGATCCTTCTTTACTGTGGGGCTTGAATCTGTGCACTACTAGAATATTATACAGCACCCCAAATCTCTGGTCTCCTCCCACTGCATGCCAGTAGTGCCCCACCTACAAGCTATGATACCCCAAAATGTGTACACACATGGCTGGTGCTCCCTGGAGAACAGTGGGGGGGGGCACAAAGTCACTCCTAGCTAAGAGTGACAGTTACATACAGAGATTTTGACTTAGAGTCAGGGAGGGGAGCAGCTGTGATTATTCAGAAGACAATCCTAATGGCCCCAGGGGGCCACGGTCATTATTGCTGTGGGGGATGGGGGTCCTGCATCTGCTACTTTTTGGCTTAATAACCCTGGGGACAAATCATTTCAGCTCTCTGAGTCTCAGAGGCCTACTCTATGGCTTCATAACAGTGACTGCTTCACGGGTAAGCTTCATACAGACCATAGGTAAGCATGGTTAGAGCCAGCTGGCAAACTCATCCCAACCATCATGTCCAGGGTGGGCCCGTGCATGAGCAAAAGGTGTTGCGCCCTTTCAGAATATTATCCAGACAGAAAAGGGAGCAGAGCCCTGGTGTCTTGACGGTGCTGTCCCATATAAAAGGAATCAGGTGTGAAAGGACACATTTAGTGTAACCAGGACGTGACCTGTGGCAGTATGTGACAACCTCTTAATAAGCTGTAGTGTGTACTGCTGTCTGCTGTTGTTCCGCGCATGCTCAGCATGCAGGAACGTTCAGTGCTGAGCTCAGTGTGGGCTCAGGGTGCAGCTTCCCAGGAGACACCCGTGTGGTGTGGTCCTTGTGTTCTGTTCACACCCACAGTCTCCAATGCTCCTCAGAGGCTCCCGAGACCCTAAGGCAGGTTGGCTGACTCTAAGCACTGGGGCTTCTTAAAGGGGCCTCCCTGAATCTGCAGAGGCATAAAGTTGAGGCAGTGTTTAATGAAACTCCAGAGAAACCCCCACCTGGTACTCCCTGGAGCCCCTGCATCTACATATCTCAGGTTGAGGTCAGAAGTATGCATTTTACTCAGCTTCTCACATGGCTTCTCGCATATGCTTCACGTTCCACGTGGCAGCGAACATGTGGATCTCCTTCCAAGCAGTACCCCAGTTCTTGGAGAACCCCTCAACAAAGCAAAGCAGTCCAATTGGCCTCCGAAAGAGAAACTGAGGAGAGGTGAGTGGCAGCCAGCACAGCCCTCCGGGGGCCCGCAGTTCTGCCTGATGCAACTTCCACCAGCTACTACTGTTAATTGGAGCAACATGTAGGACCGAGGAGGGCTCTCAAGAAGTCCTGGGTTTCCTGGGCTTTCTCCCAGGGGTTCCCATCAGCCCCCGAAGCTCCCGTTCAGCTATTTAAAGATTCCAAGCCATCCAAATGCTCCTGACTATAGTTCTCTCACCAAATGCTGCCTGGGTTCAAACCCACCCTTATGAACTGGCTCCAGCTTGGGGACAATCCAGACCCAGGCTCCTGTTTAGGCTTCCAGGGGCCTCAGGCCTCGGTGCTGCCCCTCTGGTTCCTGGCACCTCATAAATTGTCTCAGGGTCCCATAGTTTTACAAGTTCTGAATTCACCAGGCACACTGGTTCACTTTCCCGAGTGCCAGGGCTGACCTGCAGCCAAGCAGCGAACACCTCGGAGCTCTTGAGGGAAAATTCACGGGTCCATTCCCACGCCTACAGGGTTGAACGGCCAAGACCATGCTCTGCCCAGGAGCCTCTCTCTAGAGGAAGACAGGAAAGGCTGGCTAGGGGAAGGCGTCTCTGCAGAGCCAGGGTTCTGTCAGCATGGGGCAATCACTACCACAGAGGGGACCTCAGGTCCTGGCATGTTATAAATATGTTTTTCTAGACTGTACGATGCACATAGCACTAAGAGATGAGGGTCCTTTGTCAGAATGAGGATGCTGCAATATGCCTAGAGATCCAGGTCCAGCTTGATGACATCTACCACTGGGCCCTCAGGAAAGCACTCCATCCTTCTGGGCCTTTCCGTGGTGTCAGTGGGATTTACTCTGATTGCTAAGTGTCATGAGCACAGAGAACAGAGTGGGGAACACTGCCGAGGGACACACTTGAAAGGCTGTGGGTAAGAGGGGCAGATGAAAAGGGTTTGGACTCAGACCGAAGGACTCAGATTGAGCCACTGGGAGAAGGACCCTGTGGAAAACACAGGCCAGAGGTGTCTCTGTCTCCCCAGTGGTGATCAACCAGCCCAAACTGGCCTCCCCTGATTATGGTACCCCAAGGCCCTGTCTTCAAATAGCCGATCTAGGCTGGGCCAGAAGGAGCAGTTATATCCAGTGTTCAGTGTGACCACTCACTACGTCTTCCCTGCAGGTTCTCCTCCAGTGGGGACTGTGTGGCCATGTGACCTTAGAGGTCTCAGCCTCCTCATATAGAAAGGGGACCGCACTTAACCTTCCGGGAGGCTCCTACCTGACCATCCCATCCATGTGGCACCAGCTGGAGACCACACTCTGTTCTTTTTACTTCCTGGCCTGACCTTGATTTTTCTCTTTCCAGTGCCATGAACATTCTCACACATCTCTATAGTTAGCAAGATTCTCCCTAGAGGTTGCATGAACCCTAGGTGATTGATGGGTTCCCCAGTCACTGAGGAGCGCTAGGGCTTTAGCTCCTTCCTATGTAAGTTAGGGATGCAGTAAGCAGCCAGGCTTTCTGGACCTCAGTCTTTGAGAGGATGGGCTCTGAGATCAGGCCTGCCTGACTCACTGGTACATGTCAGCGCTCAACAAATATGTCCCAATATTCCTGGAT